TGTCTATGTGGCCCAGACTAATCTTGAACGTGTAACCCTCAGTAACCAGAATTACAGGCATGCCTCACCAGTCTTAGTACCACTTCTTAAGAGTTGTAGAATTCCCTCAGTTATCTTCTGCTTTTTATGCACTTAACATTTTTCTGAGGAAAGATCCCGAAGTTTCATGCTATTCCCTCAAGGGTCCATGGGGCACCTGTGCCTGGGAGTGTACACTCAGAGAATCTAAAGCCTGGTGTACAGTCTGCCTCCATCTCCCCATTTACCGTGTTGTCCTGCAAATACAAATATGCCTTTCTCTTTCCTGCAGACTCTTACATGGCACAATGGTGTCATATTTCCTTGGGTCTTCAGTGCCTGTGCCTGGAACAGGGCTTGGCACCCATAGAGCCATGGCCATAGAGGATCTACTGTATAAGAAAAGCTTGGGTCCCACTCATTTGCTAGTTTGGCCATTCACTCATTGGTTTCTTCAAAGAACAGGGGCTACACACTGCCCCCTGCTGAAGTTAGCTCTGGGGACCACAGGGAGGAGGGAGGATGAGAACTCAGTCCTCATTCTCATTGACCCTTTCTCACCTGTGAGCAGGAGAAATTTGGTCCTGAATGATGACAACTGAGGCCACTTGTTCTGGGAAGGTGAGTCCTGGAGGAACCTAACTCTCACATCTCTACCTATGGGCTCTTTCTATAAGGGTACCAGGAAAAAGTAAGCATGGTGCTGTAAAATGTAGAAAAGAAAGCTTCCTTTCTTTCATTGCTGAACAGAGCCTTGTTAGCCTAGGCTGGCCTCAAATTCACAGAAATCTACTTACTTCTGCTTCCATGATGCCAAAGCTGTTTTCATCCTGTTGTGAAATGGGGTTATATGTGTCACAGGCTGACTTCTAACTCACTTATAGCCAAAGATAACCTTGAATTTCTCCTTCTGAGTGCTGAGATTTGAGCAAATGTTCCTACTCCAAGATTATTCCATGCTAGGGATCAGAACTCATGACTTTGTGTATGCTAGGCCCCATTGAGCTACATCCCCAGCTTATCCTCTAAAAAAGAAAGTCTCTGAGTTTCTCCTAAAGACAGTTTACCTTGATGTAGTTACTGGTCTGGCCTAGCAAGCCTTGAGAAGAGAAGGGCTTTCCATTGTCCCAGGTGGTTCAGGGGTGGACTCCTGAAGTCATGGAATAGATGTTTGCCCTCTCTGGAGTTCCTTTTCTGCTTCAAACTCTGTGATGTCATCAATTGGCTACAATGGCCGAGGGTCCCTAGATACCTTGGGGATCCTTTTCCTTCCAAGAGATGAGAACTGGGCAAGAAGACAGGATGGCTGAAAGACCCACAGAGCGTGGACCTTCACACTCCCACTCAGGAAAGGCGACACCCCAAATCACTCACGAGAAGCAGTCTTGATGCAAATAGCATGAGGAATTTTTATTCCAAGTGCACTGGGGTCCACAGTCATATGCCACACAGGGGTAGAGGACTGAGGACCTCTAGTGCAGAATTGAGATAGGTTTTATAGGATTTACATCAAAGGTACAAGGCCAGTTTCAAAGCCAGCCTGTTATTGTCACTAGGCCTAAAAGCAAGGTCATGGGACAGTTCAAAACTTGGGTAGTTAATAAGGTTTCCTAGGTTACAGAGATTTCATAGAGTACACAGTTTTTACAAGACAGGATTGTTTATCACACCTGCAAGGTTAGGGGGTTTTCTTTCTCTAGGACCAGCGGGCTCAGTGGCCTTGTCCCTAAGATAATGGGGGCAGGGAGAATGTACTCTCCAGTCAGGGAATTATCTATATCTATTGGCAGAGGCACTTGTTCTTTCTAGTTTTCCTTTCTTGCCATGAGTCCCAGCTCTTTTAGTTATTAATTTGCTTTATAGACAGGATGACCCATAACAATTCCCAGACTGTTGCTGAGAATAACAACATTCCTCAGAAACTAGGTGGTTATGAATAATAATAATAATTTCCAGAAACCGGTCATCATGACTAAGCTATTTCATGTGTTTTTTTCCTGAGCTTTGCATGCAGCTAGGGTTATTCTTAAATACTTAGTGGTCATTAGAGAGTTAGGCTTTCATGGCTTCCCCATACCTGCATACATATGCTGAGTGACCAAGGGAGGGAATGACTGAACTTCAGGCCAGACCATCTGTCCAAAAAGGATGCTGCAGACTCAGAAGAAAGTGGCATGGAGAGCTGAAGGTGTGATACCCAGGAAGGACTGGGGAAAGGTTACAAGGACAGCCAGATTCCCAGATGGTTAAGACAAAACCTAAGGAGATTTCTTCAGGGCTCAGTTAAATTGGGAGGTAAGCCATCAGGAGGCAGAAAGAAAAGGACCAATACAAGTTCAAGGCCAACCTTGACTGTCTCAAAAAGACCAAAGGAAGGTCTAGTGAGGTAGAAGTTTTTCCCACCAAGCTGACTCAAGTTCAATCCCAGAGTCCACACAATAGAACAGAATGAATTCCAGAAAGTCGCCCTCCATCCTACACATATACATATGCCCACATGCACCCATTCATATATGCACACGTGCAGATACACACACACACAAAATAAAAATGAGAGAATTTAAAAACCAAATGAAGGAGCTGGGCATGGTTGTGCACACCTTTAACCCCAGCACTTGGGAGGCAGGTAAATTTGAGGCCAGCCTGGTCTACAAGGCAAGTTCCAGAACAGCCAGGACTGTTACACAGAGAAACCCTGTCTCGAAAAACAAGACAAAAAAAAAAAAAAAAAAAAAAAAAAAACCAAACCACCATAACAACAAAAAGAAGAAAGGGGCTAGAGAGATGACTCCGTGGTTAAGAGTACTGGCTGCTCTTGCACAGGACACAGGTTTCATTCCCAGCACTCAAATGGCAGCTCACAACCATCTGTAACTCCAGTTCCAGGGGGCCGATGCTCTCTTCTGGCCTTGTGGGCACCAGGCACATACACACATGGTACACAAACATACATGCATGTAAAGCATTTACACACATAAAATAAAAATAAATCCTTTTTTTTGTTTGTTTGTTTTTTTTTTTTTTTTTTAAGGATGAACCCATCAGGGGAAGAGGAAGAAATTTCCCCAAAGAGACATTATATCCAAATACAAACATAAATTTAACAAAATCCTGTAGCACTTCTCCAGAGAGACATAGCCTTAAAACACAGAAAAGGACCAGTTCATGGGACCAATATCATACATGTTTACTGAATGCTTCAGAAAACATTCCAGAAGCCTTCTCAGCTCCCTCATCTGGTCCTAGCCCCAGGTAGCCTCTTTCTCACTGGGCTGTCTACTGGCACATGTGGCTTCAGCCTGTGACAATCCCTAGTACAAGGAGCCATCCTCTTAGGAAGAGTTGGTGGGTAATGCTATGGAGTTGAAACAATTTATCAAACACATCAAATCAACTGGGAATGTGTGATGGTTTCACATTGTTTCCTGTGATAATGACCTGTTATTCTCCACCCCGCCCCCAGGAAAAATCTCTCAAAGCTTTACTTTAAAAACCATATGTCTCCCTAGTAAGTAATCAGAATAGTACAGTTCCAGTTCACTATGACAATCTAAAATAAAAAGATGTCCAGCAACAAGCTTTCAATCTACTAGAGCAGATAAAAGTTCACAGTCAGGACAAGATAGACCTTGCAGGCAGCTCCGAGAAGAGCTGAGAGTGAAAAGCTCAGGGGCATGACTCCAGATGATAGGGTTAGGAGAGACAGGGTGGACAGTAGGACCCTGCTTCAGAGACAGACAGTGAAGCAGAGTTGAAGAATGGGTTCCAGGGCCTGTCCAGATAGGAAAGTGTTTGCCTCCAAACAGCAGGACCTGAGCTCTGTTCACAGATAAGGGTATCTGGTGCAGTGGTATGCCTGTAATTCTAATGCTGGGAGGTGGAGACAGGAGGATGACTGGGACTTGATGGACAGCCAGCCTAGCCTAAACAGTGAGCCCCAGATCCCACTAAAGGAACTTGTCTCAAAGGAAATGAATGGCATTTCTGAGGTGACACTGAGGTTGTCCTCTGGCCTCTATGCACATGTACACATACCCACACATACCTACACACATGTGCATGCACACTCCCACACAAATACATACATACATATAGACACACACATACACACACGACTCCCAGCTGACTCCAGTTCAAGGGTCACATGGTCACCGCTCAGTTGCTGGAAATACTTCAACCAAGTGAAATCTGGATAATCTATTCCACATTCTCCTTCTCTTGGCAGGAAGTGTGGACTAAAGAGTTGGCTCCAAAGAACCTTCTGCCTCTACAGGTCCCTTATTCTGACAGGACATGGAGATAGCAACGAGACTCTCAGAAGAAAGATTAACATAGGCCAAGATTCCTGGAAACCCAAGATTCTTTTATTCTCAGACTGTATTTCATAGACTTAGGAGTCCTTGAAACGAATATGGACAGCAATGACTGCCCCCTACTGCATGGCATGAAATGGAAGCAGTACCTTGAGAGGTGTCCCACCCTTCAATACACAGCTGGAGAATGACACTCCAGGGTGCTCACAGAGCACCTGAATCTGATTAAGATTCCTCCTGGCTCCAGGGTAGTGGGCCCTTCTGCACTAAAGATGAATGTGCCAAGGCCCTTGTTCTCCTGGCGCCTATGAAGCCAACATGACATGTGAGGCCATGTAAAACAAGATCCCCTGGTTCACTGAGTGTCTTTCTCCCTCTCAAAGGTTCATCTGTAAGTCTCAGACTCAGTCTCCTACCAGAGGTAGGATGGATGCCACAAAGTAACTAAGTCACCAGGCACCTGGGCAGATTCCGAGTCCAGCAGAGAGGGACTTGAAGCTATTATGAATGCTGACAGCTCAACTGAAAAATTTGCCAAAAGTTTTCAAAGGATCTTGGGCTAGATCCTTTGATTTCAAAAGTCAACCCATCAATGGCCAAAATATGCCAAAAGGAGGTGTCGCTGAGTGTCACTGCAAAGCCAGCACCAGGATGCTAAGGGTACTGAGAACTCTGGTTCTCTTCTGGCCCTGGAGAAGGGAAGGTCGGCCAGGAGGTCATCTGGTGGTCCCTGGTCAGCATGGGGCATCACAGACCTGGCGGGCCACCTACTTTTCCTTCCCCTGCTGCTGTAACCTCTTGGCTACAGCTGTGATCAGAGCTGCTCCCTTCCCACTGCCGTCTTCTGACAACATGAATGTCACATCACACTGAGGGGCCAGGTCTTTCACCGTCTCCTGCAGGATCCGTGAGAAGCTGGGACAAAGAGGAAGACATATCAGCCCTTGCAGTGGGGTTGGCAGATAGACTACTGAGACCAAGATTTCCCCTCTGACCTTATGGCAAAGACCCCACTCTCATCAGTCAAATGCGTATCAGCTGAAGGATTTTTTTTTTCAGGAGCTCTTCAGCAGGCTAAGTAACTCTCACTTCCAGTTCTGAGGGTTTTATCGTGAAGCTGATGAGAGACCCCATCAAACTCAGCACCTTTTTGTTGCTGTTGTTTGTTGTTTTTTAAGGCAAGGTTTCTCTGTGTGCACCACTACTGCCTGGCATCAGTACCTTTTAAAAGGATTGCATGCTTTCTTTCTGCCTTTGCTCAAGTTTTAGTTCAAGACAGAGATTTGGAGCTGGTGAGATGGCACAGAGGGGCTTGCCATCAGGCAGGCCCTGATGAGCAGAGCTTGGTTCCTTGGCCCCATGTGGTGATGGAGAGAACTGACTCCTGTGCATCCATACATGTACATACATACACACCTACATACAAAGTAAATGTAAGAATATTTTAAAGTCTGTATTTGTAGAAAACAAACTCCAAAATGTGTCACTAAAGAACAAAGAAAGAAGCCAGAAACCAGCACCACAGGAATTTTATAATCTTGTTCATCCATCTCCATATCACCAAAATAAAAAGGAAAACATTAAACAAAAACAATAGATTTGCCTGACAGTGGTGGTGCAATTGGAAGCCAGAGGCAGGCAGATCTCTGAATTCATGGCCAGCCTGATCTACAGAGCCAGGGCTACACAGAGAAAACCTGTCTCAGAAAAACAAAAACAAAAAAAAAAAAGTAATAACTTTTTATAAGTGAAGCAATTAAATTTTTAGCCTCTTGACAGCCTATGAGTTGACTATGATTTTTTTTTCTTTTTTTGTCCTCATACTATAGAAAAAAGTCAAAGCAGTCACCGACTGACCCTATGCCACCTGGCTCCTACACGGTAGAGCCAAGAGTCAACCCTGTGTGTGTGACTGGGTTCTTCATTTTTCTGTCCAATGACTGAACTGAGAAATTACAATCAGTTCAAACCTGGCTGGCACTCTGGTCATGCTCTCTGCCTGGCTCTACCTACTGTAATCACAACATGTGCTTCCTTCCCCAAGAGGCAGAGGTCACTGCTATTGACCTGGCTCAGAGGAGGACCCTGCCTGGGCTTCACAGGCTGACTTGTAGCCTTATGTGGACAACCAGGAAGTAGAAGCACCAGCCCTTGCTTCAACCTCAATAGCAGGTGGACTGGCCATGCCCAGTTACCACCGAGTGTGTGTGTGGGTCCATCCCTGGTCACCAGCATTCCCACCCTCTGTCCCAGTTCCCATGCCCATACAGCACTCACTGAGGGTGCAGCTTGTATAGCGTTCCATCCACACCCACAGTGACCTTGAAGTGCTCAAGCCCCTGGTCTTCTCTCCTTTTCTCCACGATGGCAGCCATGCCTGCGCCACAGAGCTGGGCAGCCCTCCGAGACACGGCCCCACACACCTCTTTCACCACAATGCTGTCTTCACACGTGCTGTCCAGGCCCAGCTGCTGCAGGATCCTCCTGACCTGCAGGAGGGCCAGTCGGTCACTGAGGACAAGCAGGTCAGAATGTTAGGAGCTGCTTCCTGCACCTGGACCTGGGTCCATGATCCAGAGTCTTCTGGAACCAGCCTTGGCCAGATGCATGCTGTCAATGGCTGAGGGTGTAGTGTCAGAAACACAGAAAATCCCCTACCCTAGGAAGTCGCATTGCTTTTAAATAGCAAGTTGTCAGTGCCCTTGTGTTATGTACACCCTTGCCCATCTTACTAGGAGTTAAATCAGGGTCAGATGTTTTCCAGGAGTCTGATGTTCTGAGTACGAGGGATGTCCTCTAGACAGGCACCTCTCAGCAACTTAGCACTCCCATATGGTATTCTCTCTCCCCATTCCAGAGGCCAGTTTCCTCCTACTTCTAGTTTTTTCTTGCTATGTATCCCCTGGCTGGCCTGGCATTCACTATGTAGCTCAGAATGGCCTGAGATTCATGGTAACCTTCCTGCCTCTATTTCCCAAGTGTTGGGACTGGTATGTGCTATCAACCCAGCTGACTATATGCTCTTTAAAGATGAAACCAGGCTGGGCAGTGGTGGTGCACACCTTTAATCCCAGCAGAGACAAGCAGATCTCTGAGCTTGAGGCCAGCCTGGACTATAGAGTGAGTTCCAGGACAGCCAGGGCTACATAGAGAAACCCTGTCTTGAAAAAAAGAAAAGAAAAGAAAAGAAACTATGTTTTTAGTAGCAACCTGGATAGGGCTAGGGATATTCAACAATCAAGCTACTGAATGAATATGACAAATAATGAGGCCTTAAAGAATGGAAACCCTTCACCCACTTAACCCAGGGGCCTGCAATCGGTTAACACAGACAGGATAAAAGACTGCCGAGTAATCAGCCCTAGTCAGGACATCTAGATCACATCCCATCCTCTCAAGCTTTAGGTATCATCTCAGAAGAGAAGGCAGAAATTTTAAGAACCAGGGGTAGCGGATGACTACAACATCGAAATGGGTTCCTGGCTGTGGCAGGATGTGACACATGAATTCACAGCAGCTATGACTACATGCACATGGCCTGAGAAAGATCTAACATGGATGGCAGGGGAGGTCACAAAGCTCTACCCTTAGCAAAAGAGCTATGGGCAGTTAATGGCTGCTGGAAAAGGAAGAGTCAGCTGGAAAGAGTCAGTTTCCTCAGGATGCAGGCCCCGAGAGGGTACCCGAGCTCCAGGTGATGGCCCTACGCCCATGTACACACAGGCAGCATGAGGAGCGCCCAGTGGGTTTTCTTAAAAACAACATATGAAATTGGGGAGGGAGTAGTGTTGTGGGAGGTGTTGCTGGAGGGAAGGGGTGGGGGCAGGTTTGATCAAAACCTGCATATATGAAATTCATACATGCATATATGAAATTCTCAAACAATAAAAATAATGTTAAAAAAAAAAAGAATGGGAACCTGATAGGCCCGTGACATGTACAGAGAAGTGGCCCCACAGGGACAAACTGGCCTCAAGCCTAGACCCCAGTTAAGTCACAGTGAAGCAGTACTTACTGGTCTCCCACCCTCAAGCTAAAGCCTGTGAGGTTGCAAGCTGGACCATCTCAGTGAGGCTCAGGAGAAATCAGCGCCCTCAAAAGGATGACTAACAAGTGCCACCATGGCCAGCCAGGCCAGGGGACTATCTGCAGACGGTAGGGTGACTTTTCATGAAGCCTATTCATGTCACAGGAAGCCAGCACTGATAAAGCACTGGGTGCCATTGGTCTCTGGGGGGAAGAGCAGTGATTGTTTGGGTTTCATCTCTTGTTTCCATGAGTTTGTTTTAATGTTTGTCTTTGGCCAGGAAAGGCTAAAGGACAGCTCCTGAGTCAAGCACTCTACCAACAGAGAAAGTGAACTATCTCTCCATCTCCCTTTCCCTCTTTCTCCCCAGTATCTTCCTTTGAAACCCAGGCTGGCCTCAGACTCTGACTCTCCTGCCTCAGCTGTGTGCTGAGGTGTAGGCCACCACCATACCCGGCTTCTTCCAGGTAGAACTGCTTTGGGCTCAGGGGAAACAGAACGCAGGCCAGCCAGGCTGACTGAGGGGGAAGCTGTTCTCAGAGGATCCTGCTGGTTAGCATTCTAGGCCATCTGCCACTGCTGATTCACCCTCCGCCTCCGCCTCCCCCTCCTCCTCCTATTGCTCCTCCTCCACTACCTCCTTCTCCTCCCCTCCTTTTTCTTTTCATCTCCTCCTCTTCTTCTTTTTAAAGATTTATTATTTTTATTCTATATGTATGAGTGTTTTGCCTGTACTGAGTGACTTGTGCCTGCAGAGGCTGAAAGAGGGCACCAGATCCCCTGGTATTAGAGTTCCGGGCAGTTGCCATGCCATGCTATGACCTGAACCCAGGTCCTCTGCAAGAGCAGCCACTGCTCTTTAACTCTGAACTCTCCTTTTATAGGCCCCTGATTCTACAGTGACTTTTCTACCACCAGCTCCTCAGGCAGCAAGAACCCTACAGTAGCTCTCCTATGAACACTGACTTCACTTATAAAGTGAGAATACCAACGCATTTTCTTTTCTTTCTTCTGTTACTGATTTTTTTTTTTTTAACTGTGTCTTGCAGTACAGTCTTGTTATGTAGCCATGGCTGGCCTGGCACTCCCTTTGTAGCCCAAATAGATCTTGTCTCTGCCTCCCAAGGGCTTGGATATAGATTTGCTCCACCATGCCTGGCTTGGCCTCTCCACCCCAATACTGCCCCCATCAGTGTTTTGTTATTCAGAACCACCTAACCAGGAAGATTACCAAAAGTCAATGATTGCACACAGATCGAGAGAAGCCAGCGTATCTGTACATACTGGTGGTGGGAAAGGAAACGGAAATGCAAAGTACCCTTTGTTTTTTGGACAGGGTCTAGGGTAGCCCAGGCTACCCTAGAACTCATTATATAAACAAAGATGCCCTTAAACTTCTCCTTCTTTGCCTCCCAAGTGCTGGGATTCCAAGTATGTTCCACCAGACCTGGCGTATAATGTGCTGGGGATTGAACCGTGTGTGCTGTGTGTGCTAGGCAAGCACTGGAACAAAGCTGCATCCCCAGCCTCAGAAGCCACCTTCCAAGAACCAATGAGCTCTTGGGGAAGAGCTCCTTTTGTCAAATGTAAGTAAATAATTCATAAGCTGCAAATGACTGTGTGCAAAAAGTAATTATGGTGTTTCTCAAAATAACAAAAATTCATAAATTATAACCTTGGCATCGTATACTAAAGGGAATTTTAGTAAATTATAGTATAGTAACAGGGAAGTTTCATGCAGCCACTTGAAATGATTATTACACTAATGAGCTGATAAGTTCTCTTTCATGAAATATTCTAGCTAATTCATACTGACAGCATAAGATTGTCATAATAAGCATCAGTGAGCAGTGACAGTATGGAATAAAGACAGACCAAAATTCAACAATGAATCTGATCAGACATTATGATTTCCAGAAAATACAAGATACAGAGGAGAGTACTAAATGCTGTGATCATCAAACTCTGGAATACAGAAAACTCTTAGGATATGGTTTCCTTGACAATTATATAGCACTTAGGGAAAATAAAGAAAGGAGAGGATGGATGCCCATAGAGTAAAAACATGTGAACCAAATAGAAAGGCCCTATTTGGCTACTAATACATAGTAAACAACCACACTACTGTTTGGTTTTGGTTTTGTTTGTCAATTTTGGAAACAGAAGTCTAAGAAAATATTTTGGGGTTTTTTTTTTTTTTGTGTGTGTGTGTGTGTGTGTGTTTTGGTTTGGGTTTTCTGAGACAGGGTTTCTCTGTCTAACAGCCCTGACTGTCCTGGAACTTGTCCTATAGACCAGGCTGGCTTCCAACTCACAGAGATCCACCTGCCTCTGCCTGAGTGCTGGAATTAAAGGCATGCACCACCACCATCCAGCCTAAAAAGCTATCTTGAGAGTAAGGTTTAATATTAGCTGTTTTAGGTGTGATAATGGTACTCAGTAATGGTTTTTTAAGAACTACTGTTTTAGAAATACATTTGAAATGTCTATACTTGAGCTGACATAGGTGTGGGCTCCATAATTAACCAGTAGGAGTGTGTGACAAAGTCTCTCTGGGGATGAGTTGACCTTTGTTGGGAGCAGTGATGGGAACACTGGGTCCATTTCACTATTGTCCTACTTTCATAGATGTTTAAAATTTTCCATAATAAAAACTAAATGGAAAACAGAAGTCAGGAATGGTAGCACACACTTGGTTGTTTTTTTTTTTTTTTTTTTTTTTTTTTTTTTTTTTTGAGACAGGGTTTCTCTGTATAACAGCCCTGGCTGTCCTGGAACTCTCTCTGTAGACCAGACTGGCCTTGAACTCACAGAGATCCACCTGCCTCTGCCTCCTGAGTGTGAGGATTAAAGGCCTGTGCCACCACAGTCCAGTAGTGACACACACTTGGAACCCCAGCACTTGGGAGGTAGAGGCAGACCTCAGCTACATTGCAACTTTGAGACCACCTGGGCTGTATCAGACCCTGTCTAAAAAACAACAAAAAAAAATGCATTGTAAGTGAAATTTTCTATGACTAAACACTAAATAAACAATATGCAAATTACATGCGATATGATGGCATGTACCAAACGAGTTTGCATATATGAAAACTTAAGAGGGAACAAAAGTCATAAAACTCAAAAAAGCTGTGTGTGGTAACAAGTATATGAGTCATTTTCTTTGTTACAGGTGTACCATCTTTTCAGGAATACAGCAGGGTTAATTTTCACCCTAACTTAATTCCCATGCAGTCCTGGCTAGAAAACCTGGTCCGTTCAATGAAGTGACCTGAGGCTACTCTCTACCCCAGGCAGTATGCTGTCCCGTGGGCTGGAATCTGATTCGGATGGATAGAGGAGGGGCACTGAGGGAGCTTCTGGCTGACTGGAGCCTTCCTGCATGCTAGCTCTGTTTTTCTCTTCAGGGTTTCATATGCCCAGAATAGCCTCAAACTCACTATGCAGCCAATGAGGACCTTGGATTTTTCATCCTCTGCCTCTTCTTCATGAATGCTGAGATTACAGGTGTGAACCACCACGCCTGCTTTATGAAGATGCTGGGGATCAAACCCAGGGCATCATACATGCTAGACAAGCACTCTCCCAAATGAACTACATCCCCAGTCTTGCTTTCATTTTCCAATCTCAAATCTTCTTACTCTGGGGGATTACAGCCATTCCCTTCCCCAAGCATCCCACACCAAACAAGCGAGTTAGATCACACATTACCTTTCAATCTGGGACAGGAATTTGGTTTCAAAGATACCCCTGGTCCGGAGTCGCTCTGAAATCTGCCCCCGGAAGAGGAGCCCTTGCCGGGTAAGGTCGATCAGGATCTGCCTCACAATCTCCCCCAGGTACATCCCACTGGTCATTTTCTCATATCTGTTTGGGGACGAGGGAATAAGACTGAGGAGGGCAGAACAGTGGTTTCTGAGGACTCAGCTCTGGGTGTGATGCAGTGCTGAGAACTGAGCCCAGGCCTTGTGCACACTCCTCCAGAAGTCTACAACTACGGTGCACCCTTAGCCTGAGGGCCCTTTGTTTCAGAACGACTGGCTCACACTGGGTTACACAGCTCACCTGCCACCCAGCCACTAAAATTGCCAAGGCAGGGTGAGGGACCCCCAGTTCCCATCCTGTCTTGCTCTTTGCTCAAGCCTCTTCCCAGACAGTGCTCTCAGATCAACAGTCCCCAGCAGTCCCCCTTGAAGCCTGTCTCTGCATTTTAGCACATTTCCAACCTGTTTAGCCTCTACTTGCTTATCAGCCATTATAATAAATCCCTGTTTCCTCTCAATTTACAGTATTCTAAAACCAAGCTTAACTGGACCGAGACCATATGAGCCACAAAATCTAAAACACTCTCTGGCCCTTTACAGAGAAAAGCTTCCCAACCCTGTTCCTGGGGAAGGGTCCAGGCTCACAAACAGGGCCTAGGACACTAGCATGGCCCTAGTCTAGTCCTTTTTCCCCCATTCATCAATGTGTATCAGAATGCGATGGAAATCTACTGTAAGGTGTTTAGAAGCCATTATTCTCTTCTGTTTGTTAAGTGGCTACTAACTGAAGGTGTGTGGCCCATGACAAGACTTGATACAAGACCATGACAAGCCAGTCCTCCATCCACTGTGGGGACCACTTTCCTACAGCTCACTGACCTGACAAGGCTAAGGACCTTGACCTCTAAATTGGACCTAGTAAAAAGCCTATCAGAGGGCCCTCAAGGTCACCACACCCCTGCTCTGTGACACCCAGGCACCCTTGCAAGAAGACATTCTGACAGCTTCTGGCTGGCTTCCTGAGCCCCACTAGCCTTCACAGTGCCTAGTAGATTAGAAAAGTGACCCCCTCCTTCTGTGTTAGAAACATCAAGATGGCCTTCTTTTATTCCAGGGTGACCCTGCACCAACATCTGGTACAGAGGTGTAGTAGGCATAGACAAAGCTATCAGGTTGATTCCACAGGAACAGAACTGCTCCTTGGGTTTGGAGAAACTGCTCCCACCACACATAACATACACACAACCACCTGCCCTTCTCACCTCTGCTTGCCTGAATTCAATGAGCCCTCATCCACTTCCTTGTCGTACTGGGTGCAGATGTCATCTATGCAGCCATTGTCTCCAAAGGCCCCCCACTCTGTGTTGATACACATCCGCCCTTCATCCCCTTCCACCAGCTCAATGTTCCTCATCTCCTCCATGTAGCACACATTGCTTCCTGTCCCTGGAAAGAATCATGGAGGGACTTTAGACCCCAAAGATGATACTTGATCTAAGAAAGGCAGATGAATGCCATAAACTGGGATCTGAAACAGAGCTGGACGCGATTCCAGTTTTGCATTCAGCTGGCCAATCTTAAGCAAGTGCTCTATGGAGTTGTTATAAAGAAAAAATTTTCTTCACATGTTAAATACCAATGAATGATACCATCTTCAGCAACAGCAACAGCATCCCCATCATCCTCATATTCCCCACCACCACCACCATCATCATATTCTCGACCATCATCATCATCATCCCTCATCATCAGCAGGATCAGCATCATCCCCATCATTATCAGTGTCATCATTTGTCATCATCACCATCATATCCCCCATCGCCACTGTCACTATCACCTTAGTTAGCATCTCTATGGGTATCTAGCCACATCATCATTCACATCATCATTCTCACAGTGGTAGAATTATCATCATCATGTCCATCTTGCCTATCATCATCCTCATCATGTCTATCCTATCATCCCCAGCAGCAGCAGTCCTATAGGTATACAAAGCTTCCAAGGAGTCACAGACTAAGCACGCAGCACAGATAAGGGCCATGACTTGGACAAGTGGACTTTTGGTATCTGGGAGCCATTCTTTCTCCCTTGCCCATGACCTGGCCCCAGAACTCCCACACAGCAGTCTAGGTACCTATCATATTCACTTGTGCAGGCCTCATCTGTGCAGCTTCCTGTATCTGGCCCAACCTTCCTACCGAGGTAGTGGGAATCAGAATACTTAGCTTGCTTACACTCACATGCAGACAGAGGTCTGTGGGAGAGCACTGAACACATATCCCTTGATCTTCATTTGCCTGTCTTGCCACCTGATCTTATCCAGTGAGCCCAGACAAGCCCAGAACCACTTCTCCAGGCTCTGTCTCCACTCAGCTGTGCCTGTCACATGGAAGGCTACTCATGTTCATCTCCAGTCTTTAATCCCACCTGTTCCCTAGCCTCTCAGAGAAACTTCTCCCTCGGGAAGCCACTCTTAAATCTGGACCACTGCCAGGCTACTTCTAAAAGTATGTAAAGGTCCTGTATCACCTCAGACCATTCCCTTCCTCCATCTAAGTTTCCTGTCACCTCTTGCCTCTCACAGGTACCCAAAGAGCCAGAAGAATCCAGGCAATGGAGATGTGTGCAGTTCGCAGCCCAGACCACCATGTCCTACAGTGACCTCCTTCCTCCCAAGATACCTGACCCTAGAACTGTAAGTTGCAAGAAGGGAGTCTAAGGAAGGGTGACGCTGTAATGAGGAGAGACTCTAAAAATGACACATTATATACAATTATAAAGATGTTCAAAACATGAAGGACAAAAAGGAATAAAACTCCTTTGTGTGTCTTCTCCTTCCTCAATGAAAAGAATGACCATGGCTTAGAGCCTTTGTGAGAAAGACATTACGAGATTTGGAATTAGTCAGCCTAGAACCTCAGACTGAATTGCATTCCCCTCTAGAGTTACCTCTGGCAGCAGAGCAGTGACACCCACCACTCCTCAAGAGAGACGGATGGGGTCAGGCCAGTGGGCCACGGCTGACCACTCACCTGCAATCAAGCCAATCTCACAATTGGGATCTTCATAGCCGCATGTCATCATGGTCCCCACCGTGTCATTCACGATTGCAACTATGTCCAGGTCAAACTCCTGCAAAGGAAGCAAGCAGCTGCCCTGAAAGCACAATGTGCAAGGGGCACAAGGCAGACTGAGGCCTGTGTCGCAGGGCCTGGGCATAGTATGGCAGAGCAGGGGAAGGGCCCAGGGGAAGAGGGCAAGGTCCACCATGCACTCCCCACTGTAGCCTACGTTTCTCCTCTTGATGGCGTCTCTGAGCATGTCCACCACATCCTCCCCTTCACAGTCAGTGGCCTTGAAGCCTTTGGTCCACCCTACCAGAGTACCCTGAAACAAAGAAGGGGACAGTCACTTGAGCAGTACTCCTGAGGGTCACAGAGCAGCTCCAACAGACACAAGGTACTGAATCTGATCACAGGTGGGACATGAACTCTTGGCCTGCTTCTACCTCTATTGTCTCAACATGGCCCAGACAAGGGCTCCTCCACAGCTCTGCATGCTCTTCAAGAGTCAGATGTGTCCCTGCCACTGCTACACAGAGTCAGAGCCACCCTGCTTCTAAAGCAGCCCACGGCAGACTGAGGTGTCCTCAGAGGTCCTGTCAGTCCAAGCACCACCTTGTCCACCCCTCCCCCACCCCAGCAGTATTGTGAAGATTTACTGTCTTCGCCATCACTGTCTGAGTTACTACAAATCAGAACAGCTGCACCACCAAAAAATATGGCACACTGGAGAACTGTGTTAATCACATACTTTTAAATGAAAGCCATTAAAACACAGGTAGAGATTTAGTCCACTTTTTATTTTTAAAATGACATAAATATTCAGCCTAGAAAAGGGCCTAGAACAATATGTGCTCAAGGACTATCTTTGAATCCAAAACTATAAGTACTTTTTTTTTTTTAGATTTATTTATTCATTGATTTTAGATAAGAGTATATAAGTACTTTCTCTTCGTGAATGACATTATGCCAGAAGAGGGCATCAGATCCCACTAGAGATGTTTATGAGCCACCAGGTGGTTGCTGGGAATTGAACTCAGGATCTCTGGAATTGCAGCCAGTGCTCTTAAATACTGAGCCATCTCTCTGGCCCTCTATGAATGCATTTTAATTTTTCTGTTTTCTAAAATCAATACACTCAGTGTTCGTGGTAGCATTTTAATGTTTATAAGCTGTTACCTTGTCTGGGATTTATCTAGCCCCGCTCCACAGCTCCACAGCCTAGAAAGTTGGGAGTGGTAGCAAGTGGCAGAGCTGGAGTGTTGGGCCAGGAAGGGGAGCCTTTGCAACCCCTGGCTAGACCGTCTCACCCTGAGGAAGACACACTGCCACGGGAAAAAGCTCTTTTTTTATACACTGCAGCCACATAAAAACAAATAATCTTTTGTCTTTCTTTTCCCCTGTGACCATCGGTAGCTCTGTTCCCAGTGCCCGCCTCTTGACCAGCCTCCTCTGGGAGTCAGGACAGTCGTGAAATGCCAGCAGCTTGTATCAGAGGTGCTGCTGTGTTTGGGGCCCATCCGTCTATTCATTCCTTTTGTCTTGATTTTGTTTGTTTGTTTATTTCATTTGTTAGTTGTTTTTTATGTTTTGTTTTGGTGTTTGTTTTGGGTTTTAGCTTTGTTGTTGTTTTGTTTTGTTTATTTCCAAGACAGAGTCTTATTATGCAGCCCAGGCTGTCCTGGAACTACAAGTAGGCCACACTGCCCTCAAACTCACAGAGATCCACCTGCCTCGGCCTCTCAAGGGCTGAGATTAAAGGCCAGTGCCACTACTCTCAGCTGGTCTGTTCATTCCTAATGGCAGCAATAGCATGAGGGTGTTAGTTCTGTTTTTTTGTTTGTTTGTTTAAACTAAAATAAAATGTTACTGGTGAAAATAAATCCCTTCCTCCTGAGAGTAACTGCTACTGTACAGCCAATGAAAATCCCTCCAAACCCATTTCTCTCTGCTACATGCACTTTGAAATGAGCAAATTTATATTTTGTGTAAATCACCACCATTTGCTTTCCTTGCTTAGTGGCACTCTGTGGAGAGCTTCCCCGATCACACAATGTGGGTCCACTGAGCAAAACCTAATGTGAGCATAGACAAGAAGAACCTTGAAGCTGCCCCAGGGGAGGGCAGCCTCCAGGCCAGCTGTGTGTCTGGCAGGGCCATCTTACCTTGTCAATGCAGGTCTGTCTGCAGGGAAAGGAGAATGTGAAGCCCAAAGGCAGCTGTGCCCCCTTAAGGCCCATGTAGTCCAGAAAGTCAGCGATGCACTGCACGATGTGGTCAAACAGCTGCAGGGAGAGAGTGGCATTCCTGCAAGGAGGGCACTGAGGGGTGTGGCAAACATCTGCAGGGACAGAGTGGCATTCCTGCAAGGAGCGCACTAAGGGGTGTGGCAAACAGCTGCAGGGACAGAATGGCATTCCTGCAAGGAGCGCACTAAGGGGTGTGGCAAACAGCTGCAGGGAGAGAGTGGCATTCCTGCAAGGAGCGCACTGATGGACGGGTGTGGCAGCTGGCACCCAGGCCTAACACTCACCTCCTCACCAGTGCCTTGCATGATCTCCAGGGGGATGGCAAAGATCTTGTTGTACATTCGCACTGACCTCCGTCCACTTCTGATCTTCACCAGGAGAACTCGGAAGTTAGTTCCCCCCAAATCCAGGGCAAGAAACTTCCCTTTCTCTGTGGCAGAGAAAATGGAGGCTGCATCTCCCACCCACACATGCTGAGTAGGCACCCATGTTGGGCACTTGGAGGAAGGATAGAGGGCCAAGCCCAGTGGAAGAGGAGCCTCTGCTCCTGGACTCCTAGACCAAGAACCTTCAGGCCCCAGCAGGTGCCTTGAACCAGCCTTAGGCCAAAGCATTTTTCTTAGCCCTCATTTCTTTTAAGAACCATGCACCACCCATACCACCCACTGCTTCTGAGAAATAGTCTGAACCTCTTTCCATGTCTACTGAAGGAGGAGGTGTTGTGGGATATTAGTTGAAGACGTGTTACATTTGTTTGTGCTGTGGAGTATTTGTTTAATGATGCAAAGATGTGCTGCATTCTTTCATGATGCATTTGTGAACTCTGTGAAGCTGTGTTACTGTGCCTGCCTAAAACACCTGATTGGTCTAACAAGGAGCTGAACAGCTAATAGCAAGGCAAGAGAGAGGAATGGGTGGGGCTGCCAGGCACAAAGAATAAATAAGAGAGAGAGAGCAGCAAAAAAGGAGGAGAGGAGGGTGCCAGGGACCAGCCGTACAGCCACACATGGGAAAAGAAGTAAAGAAAAGATATACGGAAATAGAGAAAGGTAAAAGCCAAGAGGCAAAAGGTAGATGGCATAATTTAAGAAAAACTAGCTAGAAACAAGCCAAGCTAAGGTCAGGCATTCATAAATAAGATTAAGTCTCCCTGTTTTATTTGGGAGCTGAGTGGCAGGCCCACAATGAGTAATAGAGAAAAAAAAAAAAAAACTATAAGGAGGTTGGGCCTTTCAGGGTCAGGGTCCTTCTTCTAGCTCTAAACCCCATTGCCCAACAGGTGTCAAGCACTTGTACTGAGTCAGGGCTTCTGGTAGAGGATGTAATGTTCTGAACCAGGCACTCGGGGGACCTTAAGGGAGAATCCTGGCCAGCTAACCTGAGTGCAAGGGACTCATTTCTAGCCTGTTTAAAGAGTCCAGGGGAATCCTACACCACAAGCACAACCTCTTCTTTTATGGTGTGCACATGTGTGTATGGTGTGGGTGGGAGGGCACACATGCTACTGCACATGTGGAGGTCAGAGGACAACTCTGGAGTCGGCACTCTCCTTCCACCCCAACATGTGATCCTGGGATCCGACTCAGGTTACCAGGCTTGAACAGTTAAGCGCCTTCACCCTCGTAGGCCTGGCATAAACCAATTCTTGTCCCCTATTCCCTGATCCCCATGTTCCCTGGCTGGGAAGCCACCTCCAGCCCTGCGTCATGAACTGTGCAGGTCCCTAATCACAGGACCCTCATTGCCCTCCACTTGCCTACTCAGTTCTAACCATACCGGTCTCTCCTCTTCAAAATTGCCAAAGACGTCATTCCAGCCATCTGCACATTTCTTCCTAGTGCCTGCCACTTCCTGGTATCCTGTGCCATTTACATTTTCACTGTCTGGCTGCCTGTATAAGCCCCTTGCATAAGGACACTATTGCTGTGCCTCGAACAGAGCCTAACATGTAGTTGCTGCTTCATGGAGATTGGAAGGGCAAGCACAGATGAAGCAAAGGGATAAAAGGAGAAAGAACTGGCTGGTTTATCTTTACTGTTCCCTGTTTTCTGCAACAAAGGATTTGGGCTCCAGAAAAAACAAACAAAAAAGATTCAAAGTGTGAGCCTCAGAAGCTTGCTAGCCCGCAATGTTGATGAGATGGGAATATTCCCTCTTCAGATAACAGGCAAAGTGGTTTGTAAGAATAAAAGGGCAGCATTCAAAGCAAACTGTAAGGCCTGAGCGTGGGCCAGCATAGGAGCTGAGCTCAGAGGGTAAAGGCACTTACCATCAAGTCTAACAACCAGAGTTGGTAGAAGGAGAAGGAACCAACCCCACAAATCATCCTCCAGCCTCCACATGTGTACTGTGGCATGTCAACACACACTTCCAAAATAAATGAAAGTAAACGAAAAATGCAATTAAAAAAAAAAAAAACACCAAAGGCAGTTGGCAAAGGCCCTTATTCCCTAAAGAGACTCTGGAGAGTCCCAGAAGTGAGGCAGCTGCAGAGAACAGACTCCACTACACAGTGGTTTCCCTCAGCTGGGTATAGAGGAGCAGCAGGATCCGGAGTTGGAGAAGTCAGGGCAGAAAACAGTAAGGAGCAAAGCCAGAATCTGAAACCCAGAAAAGGGCCTGCCAGAGAAGAAAGCCCTGAAGGCCCAAACAGCCCAAGTGTCCAGAGAGAGGCTCACCTGCACTGAGAACGAACACACACACACACACACACACACACACACACACACACACACACACACACACGGTTTAACCAAGTCTGGCAGCTCCAGAACGAACCTCTAGTGACTGTCCCCTCTTCTCGCCCAAGGCTGTAACACTCACTGCATTTGCAGAATGTTGATGGAAGCTCTGCACATCCCTACAGAGCAGGTGGCTGTGCCAACCTACCTGTGCCATCAGGCATGCCATAGACATAGGTGGGGAGCATCTTCACCGTAGCCAGAGCCTGAGTCTTTTTCTTCAGCCCGTACTCTAGCTCAGTCCGCATCTTGTCCCGCACACCCATGAGTTGCTCTCTGGTCAGATGGAACAAAGCCAGCACCTTGTCAATCTGCTTACGCTGGGCCTGCACCCGAGAGGCTACTGCGGTCACCATAGCGGCCCCCTTGGTGCTGCCACTCTCTGACAGGAGGAAGCGGACATCACAGTTTGGGACCAGTCTCCTCACCACCTTGTGCAGGCGTTTGGGGTACCTGAAGGTAGAGGTGACAGACAAATACTGAACAGTCATAAAAGCTGGGTCTGGCCAGTGTGAACAGACACAAGACTAGTGGGCAATGGGTCCTAGAGGCCCTGCTTGTTGGACAGTGTGGACCTGACTACAACAACTGCGACAGTAGAAAGGACACACTGGAAGCTAAGGGAAGTGCTGATGTTTTAACACAAAGGACATGTGCATGAACAGTGTGATAGACGATTGTAGTGAGATAGTTCTGTGGCACTGACCACGCCCATTGGGGGTGGAGCCATGGGCGGAGTGACCTGAGGAAGGAGGTCGGAGGGGGCCAGGAGATGCGCTCTCTTTCTGGTGTGACTCGGACAAGAGAGGATCGGGTTGAATTTCCTGGTGTTCATCTGTCTAGGTTGTAAGTTATTTCTCCCTGAATAAACATCTATTCGGCCTATTTGTTTATCCTGATCCTTATTTACCGTGATAGACGATGTCAACTTTGTCCAAAGAGGAAGGATTTGCTTGCTCAGCCCTTTCTAGGGTATAAACTCCTGGCTTCCAAAGCTGCCTCCATTAGCTAGAGAAATCTTCATTTCCACCCTGTCTTCCTAGCAGGGCCCAGCAACCTCTGCCATCACTAGTTTTCCTCATTGGTAACTAGGTTTTTCAGTCTTACCATGCAGTAAGTATTATCTAACTAATGGAGAGAAAGATGGCTAGATAGATGATAAAAGGAAAGGTAGCTAGATAGGTAGGAAGAGAGATAAACAGACACACAGATAGGCAGGCAGGCAGGTGGGCATATGAACACAGGAGAGATGAATGACTAGACACACTGATGGATGTATACATGAATGGATAGATAGATGGGTGACTTTCTAATTAGGCAATTACTTTGACAGACTGGTTTTGTTTTTTGAGATGGGTCTTGCTGTATAGCTCAGGCTGGCCTCAGGCTTGCTCTCTTCCTACCTCCTACAGTAGAGTTCTTCATTGCTCTGTCCTAGAGGACCTGCTGCTGACCAACCCCTCTGAGTTCTGCGATTACTGGTATGCACACCACTTCCACTTAAGGGCCCATCTCTCCATGAGTGTTTCCCCAAAGCACCCAGCCAGCTATGTAAATGCAGGCTTTAATCAGTCTTCCCCTTGGAATCTTAGAACTATTGATTCTAGCTCCTCAACACAGACCTGCAGGAGCACCAGGGGAGACTCCGTGGTGAGGTACAGGCTGGTGGGTGGAACTTACTGAGGGTGTATTTTGTAGAGGGTCCCATCCATGCCCACTGTGGTGCGGAGCCGGGCCTGCTTCTTATTCTCTCGGAGGCGTGTCAAGATGGCTGCCAGAGCAGCAGCACAGAGATTGGCCGAGCGGAAAGAGACAATGGTACACACATGCTGGACAGCAATACAGTCTGACTCGGAGGGGTCCAGGCCAAGATTCACCAGGATCTCCCTCGTGTTGGCCAGGCCTTCTTTATACCTAGCCAGGGACAGGAAAGAAGCTATGGGCATCCTCCTGGGATGTGTGCTCTGGGGGTTGTATGCGCTATCTCATAATAACACTCATAATAACTCAATATCAGCACTGAAAACAGCAGCTACTATTTACTAAGCACTTGACTCTGATTCCCCAAGAGATCTGTGACCCTAGTCACAGACATATTACTAGTCACTATTCAAGGGAGGAAGAAGGCAGGAAAAAAAGTGGCAAGAGGGTAGTTTTCTGATATCCCCTGTCACACAAGAGTGTGACACTGAGCCACATAGAAATTTCTAGTTTGTCTAAAGCCATGCCCAGGACTGAAACCCCCTGTGAAGGAGGAAGGGTCTGGTTCCTGCTGCTGCTCTGTCACCTGAACACATGGCACTGTGGCCACCAACCCCAACCCCCCACAGAGGCAAAGCAGGAGGGCACCCCAGCAGCTTACTTCTCCATGGCAGCCACATGCTGTGTTTCAATCTTGCCCTTTGTGTGGAGGGCGGAGGATTTTGCACCCCCAAAGAGGAGACCGACTTTGGCCATCTTTAGTAAGATGAGCCTAACCAGCTCCCCCATGTATAGGCCACTGATCATCTTCTCAAACCTGCAAAGGGAAGAGCAGTCAGTGGAATCAGCATCTCAGGCTGAGGAGCATTAGCTCCCGAATGCCAACATGTGTGGGATAAATAGCTCTGGCCGTGGGGAGCCACACTGTCGCACACTTCTGCTACTTACCTAAGCTCATTCTGCCATAGAATGACAAGCCAGAGCAGAGACTCTGATGCTTCAAACTCTTGCATTGAGCTTCTGCCTCAGGGAACCTGGTGCTGAGATTTCAATCTGGAGGGCCAATTTGTCAAAGGCTTGTCCTCAGCCTATACTTCATCAAAGTCTACTCACCATTAGGGGCATGTCCTTGAAGGACAGAGAAGGACCCAGCCCTCTCTCTTCTCCCCATCTGTGTCACACCCAGCCATGAGGTAAATTCTCCCATGTATGGTTTCCTCCACCGCATACCTCCACCATAACAGGTTACCTGGCCACAGACCCAAAAGCAATGGGACCAGCTGGTCATGGGCTAGAACCTCCAAAACTGTGAGCCAGGAGGACCTTCACAAGCTGAGTAACTCAGACATTAGTCACAGTTACAGAAAGCTGTCTGACATGAAGTTTGGAGACCCCCAAGAAGGTCCATGATGTCATGGATGGAAGACCCCAGAAGATAGCCCTCACCTCTTTACTCTGAGCCTCAATACTAGACACCTGTTAATTGTTTCCTATATGATTTCCAGTCTTCAAATATAGTAAGACACAAAATCCAGGACTATCTATTTCATAACCAACCTTACAGATTGCAATACAAAAACGTTTAGGCCACTGGGGCTGGAGACATGGCTCAGTAGTTAAGAATATTTACTGCTCTTCCAGAGGACCCAAGTTCAGTTCCCAGGACCCACATCAGATAGCTCACAACCTCCTGTAACTCCATCTTGGGGGACCCAATGCCATTTTCTGGCCCTGTGGTCACCTGCATTCACACCTGCACAAGTACATGTGTACACACACACACACACACACACACACAAATAAAAACCATTTTTTTAAAATAATCATCTTAGAACATTGAAGAAATATGAGGCAAGCAAGTAAAATTAAGATTTGATTTATGGGAGTGGAATTTCTTTTACATGAAGCAGAGATAAACGAAAATGGCAGTCTAGTGAATGCTACAGCCTTTGGCCTTTGCTTGTAACAACTCATAATTACAGGGAAATCGGTGTGTGCAAGGATTAGGCAAAAAATTCAAAAGCAGTGAGCTGCAAAAGATGCATAAAGCATAGCATGTAGAAAGGACAGCAAAACCAGCTGTGTACTGAGCCTTGAGGAAGCCCAGCACATAGCAAAGAGCTGCAGGAGATGCCAGAGCAGCTTTTCTACAGGCCATGGCTGAAGCTCAAAAAGGGTGTGGCTGAACAGCAGGCCCATTGGCTGCTGTGAGATGGGGCTCTTCAGGATCCTATGTTTCTTGCTTGGCTCTCCTCTGTGTCCATTTGCCTCCAGACTCAAAGAAGGCAGAAGTATGCCATTTGGTTCCCAACCTTATTAGCAGAGCCTTGGATGCACATGCATATTCCAGAACTAAGGAGTGCATGAGAACCATGGTTATAACCTAGAGGACAGACTCGCTGTGAGAACCAACTGGTCACAGAAACCTTCCACAGTACAGAGAGGAACTGAGTGGACAAGGACTGTCCAGTGCTGATACCTGGATGAACAAGAGGGCACTTACAGTTGCTTCCCAGGGTTGAGCGAGCCAAGGTCCAGCTCTCTGTCAAACTCCGTGCGAATGTCCTCCAAAGCCCCATCGTCCCCGAAGGCCCCCCACTCCGTGTTGATGCACATCCTTCCCTCGTCACCTTCCACCAGGTCAATGTTGCTCATGTCCTCCATGTAACATGCATTGGTGCCTGTTCCTGGAAATTGGGTCAGAGAGAACACACAAAGAGAAAAGGGTTCCAGACTGGGTAAGCCAGGGAGAACTTAACCACCCTGAGTACTGAAAAGTGCCCGCAGGATGCTTTAACTTTGCCCCACTGGCTCTGGGGTTGGAAACCACCGGAGTTCATAGAGAGTGAGGCCCACAGGTGGATCCCACATGTCTCAGGTCATGATGGTATGCAGCTATGAGGGGAGGGAATTGTGAGGCCATTCCTTGTGAATACATACCAATGTTTAAAGGGGGGGAAGCATACCAGGGAAGAGAGGGTAAGCCAATATCATAAATTAAAAACTTCAAATTCTCACCATCAGAGTATTTCCTTATGCTTTCCCTAAGTTACCCCATTCCTCTCTATACGACACTAAAACTGTTCTTTAAACTTTTTTAGTTATGGGGTGGGTATGTGCATATGCATCTAGGTGGCTGTGGAGTCCAGAATAGGGTGTCAGATGGGCTGAAACTGGAGTTACAGATGTGTGAGCCACCCAGTGTGGGTGCTGAGAATGGAACTCAGATCGTCTCCATGCTCGTAAGGGCTGGGCCATCTCTCAGGTCCGCTCACACTCCCTCCATCAATGGGTCTCAGGAGAGGCGCATCTGGCCTTTGATAGTTAATATGCCCTAAGAAAGCCAGACTCTGTTTGCTGAGAACAAAACCACTCCAAGGAAACACACACACACACACACACACACACACACACACACACACCAGTGCTAGGGAATGGCAGCAAATGGACAGACCTTTTTGGATACTTTGGGATAGTGAAAATGTTTTAAAACTACAATGAGCTGAGTTTATAAAGCTCTGAGAATTTATGGGAAAAAAAATCATTAAATTACATACCCGAAGCAAGAGAAATTTTATGCCTCAGTAACGCTGCGTTGACACATTATTCCCCCACTCACTAACTGGTTCTCTCCCTGGCTGGTACCCTGGTCTGGGTATTTTAAATGGTAATATGAAGAAATGAGACATGTAAAAAACACAGACTGTAACCTGTAACATGGCATGTGGAAAAGCTTTTCACAGACAAGCATGGGACAACGCTGAGGTTTGAAATCAATCTGTGGCCTCAAACACAGTCACCACGACAGACTGGGGGTGGGGGACAACATCAGGGGATACTGTGACTGGCAAGTTCCTGCCTTGATGTGAAGTGGGAGTGGGGGGTTGGGGGCCCCTGGAAGTGTTTCAAGCTGCTTATGTAGACAGATCTCCCTTAGAAACCCCTTTTAGAAAATCAGAAACTGTCCCCCACCCTGCCCTGGCAGAGAAACAGGAGTCAGAGAAGTAGCTATTTGAGAGCAACTTAGGAACCAAGAATGGAGGCACATCACATGCACTCTCTCTTTCACATGCATCCACACACACATACACACCTATCATCCAGACAGGAGGATTATGAGGCCAGCCTGGTCTACACATGAAACCCTGCCTCAAAATATTACTTGAATGCATTCTGCCTCCAACTGTCTCCTCACAGACTCCCCCAGCTGCTGGATGCATTGGCAGCATCTAACTTACATGGCTCAGGTCCTTTCTACACCTCTTGCAAGAATTCAGTGGCCTCTGGACAGGTTGTCTACTTCTACCCTCGTCCTGGGAATTAGTCTCTCAATTGTTGCCCAATCGAGACAGATGCTCACTCTTCAACCCAGGCCAGCCGGAAACTCACTAAGTTGCCCAGGCTGATAACAAAGCAATCTTCCTGGTCCATGAGGGCTGAGATTACAGATGAAAACTGTTATGTCCAGCTCTAGTTGAGATTCTCAGCATACACAGGAAAGTATAGGAGCTTCACTGTGAGCCAGCCCCAAGCACAGGCCCAGAACAACACAGCATGAAGAGACCAGAGTGGGAAGGAGAGGGCAGGGAATAGAGATGGGGGGGGGGGAGGGAGAATGGATGGATGGAGGGAAGATGGATGGGGGATGGATGGATGGATGGGGAGGATGGATGGAGGGACAGAGGAAGGGAGGGATGAAGGGAAGATGGATGGAGGAGAGAGGGAGGGTGGATGGAGAGAGGGAGGGTGGATGGAGAGAGGGAGGGTGGATGGAGAGAGGGAGGGAAGGAGGGAGGAGGATGGAGGGATGGATGGGTGGACGGATGCATGGACAGAGGGAGGACAGAAGGAGGGAGGGATGACAGTAGGTTTCCTATCTCCCTGTGTTGCTTCTCCTGAAAAGTGTCAGCACCCTTAATATTTATTTAGACTTTACTCAAACTCAGCCCCAGCTAGGCCCCATCTCCCGCCTCCACAACACCAAGTCCATTGAGTTACCAATGATCACACCGACTTCACAGCTGGGGTCATCATACGCACAAGTCATCATGGTCCCCACAGTGTCATTAACCAAGGCCAGGATGTCCACGTCCAGGTCCTGGTGAACACAAGGCCGCAAGGGTATCAGCACTAGAAAGCTTTACTCCCCCGCCCTCCCCAAACAGGGAACATCACTAGACACAGCCTGTGAGACACAGATTTTGTCAAGGTCCAGGATCTAGGGGAGGAGGGGGAGCTCGTGCTCCTCCACTGAGGGGAAGGGCTTCTATAAAAGAGGACTGGGGGACAGCTTCTGGTATCTACCCCTGGGGATACAGTGGAAACTGTTATTTCTAAAAGAATAAACGGGGCTGTAGAGATGGCTCAGAGGTTAAAAGCACTGACTGCTCTTTCAGAGGACCTGAGTTCAATTCCCACATGGTGGCTCACAACCATCTACAATGAGATCTGGTGCCCTCTTCTGACATGCAGAACACTGTGTATATAATAAATAAAAAAAAATATTTCTAAAAAGGGAAGAAAGGGAGAGAGAGAGACAGAGAGAGAGAAGGGAGAGAGAGACAGAGAGAAGAGAGAGAGAGAAGGGAGAGAGAGAGAGAGAGACAGAGAGCGACGGAAGCGGCCCCACAGGGCCCTGCTGCCATCCAGTAAGCACTGCCTTGACTAAACCCATCTTTCCACGTGGGTTTCCTATTCTGTCAGGTCAACCCCAGCCATTACACCAGGGCTTCCTCAAGTCTGGAGGACTGTTTTAAAGTGAGAAGGAAGGACTGGAAGGCGACACACCCAAATGTTCCCCTGGGGCTGAGGATCATAATTCAGAGTGGCACACCTGCCACCCTTCTAGGGACTCACCAGCTCAGCCAATAGCAGTAAGAATAGTTCTTCTCAACAGGCAGCAAGCAGTTTAGGTTTTAAGTGTTTCATTTGGGATTTTTAAAAAAGCACTTACTTTTGATACTATATAAATAATTGTAAAATATCATCCAAAAGTAGTAGTAGGAAGCAGAATAGAGAGCTAGGCCAGAAAGAGTGTCCTTTGGGTTCTGTGGTATTTGTGTGTTTTCTTGTTGGGAGAACTCAAGGCCTGTCCGTGTACTTTGACACCACTACACCCCAACCCAGAGAGGAAGGAAGGAGGGGCTTAAACACAGTGACAGCACAATCTTCTTGAAGGGGCCAGGCAGCTGGGGACCCGGGAAACAAAAGGCTGTCCCTTTGTGGTCCTCCAGAAGGCCTGTCTAACTGTGTGCATCCTCACTACAATGCAACAGCCCCACCCCCTCCAGGCAGGTGCAGTACAAGGGCCCCAACCCAACAAGAGTCAAGGACTGGGAGGCTCCATGACAAAGTGAGTCCCTCACCTTGTGCTTTTTCATGGCGCTGGCAAGGCGGCCCACCACGTCTGTGTCCTGAACTCCCCGGGCCTTGAACTTCTTGGTCCATGAAAGCAGGAAGCCCTGTGAGGATGTTTCAGTTAATATAAGGACTGCAGTAAACATACAGCCTGTGCTCCGAGACCCCGTGGGCTCCCTTCTCTGTGCTCCATCACTCTGATTCTTTTGGATTTCATTTTGTTTCTAATTGATGTATACTAATTGTACGGATTTATGGGGTATAGAAGGGACCCTCGCTGCAGTCTAGTCAGATCCATCTGCATAACCACCACAATCAGTTATGGTTTTTTTGTGGTGAGACTTATCTAGATCTCAAAAACAAGTGAGATATATGTAATTTGTCCTTCTGTGCCTGGCTTTTTGCACTAAGTTTAATGTTCCTCCACATTCCCACTAGTGACATATAGACAGTCATTCATCCTTTTGATGGCTGGATAGTATTCCATTGTAAACATCTACTCATCAGCTGAGAGACAGGGGTTGATTACATATCTTGCAGAGAGATTTTTAACGTTGCCTCAGGGGAATGCTTTATAATCGAGACATCTCTCTTTACTCCTTTTATCTTGGTCACAGGAATTATAATTGCTGAAGAGTCAGAAGCCTGACTCACTCATCACTGGAGCCTCAGGTTTTTTGTTTGTATAACAGAACCACCGCCACCCTCCCCCACCCCTCACCTCCAGCTGCACAGGGAGGGGACGCCTCTCAAAATATCTCGGGGTAGGGTGTGTGCAATATGTGGTGAATGCATAATTTGTAGGTCCCCAAACAGAACTGACATGGTGGACTTAATTTCTTTTCTTTCTTTTTTTGTTTTGTTTTGTTTTTCGAGACAGGGTTTCTCTGTGTAGCTTTGAACCCTGTCCTGGAACTAGCTCCAGGCCAGTCTCCAGGGATCTGCCTGCCTCTACCTTCTGAGGCAGGTGCATGTACCACCACTACCCGGCTTCTTTCCTTCCTTCCTTTCTTCCTTCTGTGTGTTCTGTCTGCATGTCTGCCTGAAGGCCAAAAGAGGGCATCAGATCTCATTATAGATGGCTGTGAGCCACTATGTGGTTGCTGGGAATTGAACTCAGGATCTCTGGGAGAGCAGTCAGTGCTCTTAACCTCTGAGCCATCTCTCCAGCCCTCTGGAGAACTTAATTTCAACTTGGAAACATGGTTCTCAATTATTTACAAATGGCATTTCTCTCCCGAAATCAAGGAATTGTAGGTGGGTGGATTGTTTGTTTCATATGAGAACAGAACTTGGAGATGGAACAGAGTTGCCTAAGTCCATTCACCCAGCTTGGAGAAGCTAAGCCCAATCTCACAGACCCTAGACAACCCTTGTCCAGTTCCCTCAGTTATGGACAAAGAAATAGAGACAGGAAGTAACTCTGGGTCTCCAGTCAGACTTCAGAACTCAGACCCATGATCAGCCCCAAGGTTGTTTTCTGTACCACACTGCCACTGTGTGGCCACGGCTACTAACTCCTGCCTTCCTAGGCTCAGATAACCTGCTTCACCAGAGGAGAAATGAAACAGAGACTAGGAGCCAGAGGCAGGCAGATCCCTGCTGCCCTGAGGCCAGCACTATCTCTCCTGACACCCTAGCAATGTGCACTTAAAGCCCACTGCAGACCGGCTGACTACAGGGACCAGCAAGGCCTCCTGAGAACCACCTAAAGGTTCTGCCTCTGCATACTGTGTACAATTAAGCACAGAATCAAGGGTCATGCCACCCAGCTTTCTCTCACACATTAGCAAGAAGCAGAGGGAAAGACAGACAGACTAGAATTTCATGCTGTTCCCTTGCACATGTCCACAAGCCCCAACCCTCCACTCTTACCTCCTCCAGCTTAGTCTGTCTGCAGGGAAAAGAAAAGGTAAAGCCCAGGGGCAACTTCTTATGCGTCAGATCTCTGGTTCTCATGAAATCTGCCAGGCAGTCAGCTACATAGTCAAAGAGCTGCAGGACAGAACACACAGTGTTTAGGGCACAGCCTCTGGTAGCCAGTACCCAGGCCTGTCCATCCTGCCAGTACCTCTGTGCCATTCCCGCGGATGATTTCATTAGGCATTGGGTAGAACTGACTCTCCATTTGGACATTCTGCTTCCCCTCTTCAGAGACCTGTACCTTCAAGACCCGAAACTTGGATCCTCCAAGATCCAGGGAAAGGAATCCCCCGTTTTCTATAAGAAACCCAAACAGTCACCATTCAGAAAAAAAAAAAAATCTCTCCTGTGACACAAGATGGACCATCCTCACAATCCCATGGATAGTATCATCATTCCACTTATTAAGGGTTGGGGGGGTATAGTTGTCAGTCTGCACTATGCAGTAGGGGGCAGAGCTGGGGTGTGAGCCCAACCCTGCTCCACTTGGTCATGCTGGAGAGAAGGAGCAAGTTCACTGGGGAAAGGCACATGTGAACCTTCTTTGTGATGGGATCTGAGGACTGAGCCTTGAGAGCAGAGCCTATTCTAGCCTCTATCTGGGAAGAAAGCCACAGCATCAACATGGGAAATTCAGATAAAGGACGGCATGAGAAAGAGAGGGGTGCAGTAAAGAGAGGCTAGTCTCACACAAGTTTCAGTCCTCAGAGGGAGACACTCCAGGAGGGGAGGGCAGCAGGGACCACATGACAGACGTTAGAGTACCAAAGATACTTAATTGAGGGACTTGGGGGCAATCTCTCCAACAGGAGCAGATGGTCCAGCACCCAGCCTGGGTCAAAAGAAAATACAGAATGATGCAAGCTTTAGGTGAGGCACCCAACCCTAATGACACCTACACAGGATCTTTGCCAGTGCCTTTGGTGTCAGCCACATGCATGGGAAATTCACCTCCTAACAATAGAAGTATTTATAAAGAACTATCTATGCCTGCTGAGTGGTTTCAATGCCAGGTGTGTACACTGAAGAAAAACTCCACGCCTGCAACCCCCAATAGCTACTTATCTCAATGGTCAGCTGGATATTCTATCACTCCTAGTGAACCCTGAGAGCTAATGCAGAACTCCAGCAGACAGCAAATGCAAGGGCAGGGAGGAAGCTCACAGGCCCAGGCCTCCCAAGCTGAGTGCACAGAAGTCCCAGCTTTAGGGTTCCCATGAAATTAGGTGTGCCTCCTTCTCAGTCCCAATGTCCTTGCACAACAAACAGGTCTGTACTATTGGAGGTTTCTCTATTCTGGTAATCCAAGGGTTAAAGGCTGAGGCTTAGCTGGCCAGAAGTGCTATGCAAACTGTCACACAGGTACCTCTCTGGGAACCTAGTTTGCAAGCAACTGTGACTGGAGGGGCCTGCAACTCTGCATTTCTAAACATGCCACCAGCTAGCCCAGGTGTCAATCATTTATAGACCCAGGCAGCTGGATTTTTGTTTCAGCGGAAGCAGCTAGAGATTATCTCCTTTGATCAGCACTGGAGGGAGCCCCAGGGAATGGTTTAAGGTCTATTACTGGGCCAAGGAATTCAGATATGAAATCCTATGCACTTACCCCATCCCATCTCAGCAAGAGGTGTGTTGTGCTGGTGTGGAAGTCCTGCAAACATCCCCAGAGCACCTAACTCCCTATCAGTGCCGGGTGCCGGGAGGACAAGATGACAGGGTGTGAGCACCCTGGGGACCTTATCAGAAGTACAGGGCTAGATAGGAAAAATGCTCTGCTGAGCAAGCACAGGAGAGGTGAGAGCCAGCAGCCACTTCCCCAAGGTGCTGTGACAAGATGGAGTGTGAAGAGGCAGCCAGGCAGGGGAGCATGTGTCCCAGCCACAGAGGAGTTGGGGGCTGGGGGGTGGGAGTGAATCACAGAAGGTGACAATGAGCCACAGAGAGAATTTACTGGAAGGGAAGGCCAAATTTGGGGGGGGCCTCCAGCCAAAGGGGGGGTTGCCCTGCTCCAGAGAAGGGAGGTGGCAAGCTGAGAACTGGCTAGGGTCCTCCCTCTGCCCTGGATCATGCCCTTATCGCTGTGCAAACACCTTGTTCCCTAGTGACTCAAGATGTCATTTCAAGGAAACCACGTGGTATGATCCCTTCCACGTGGTGTGACTCTAACCCCAGAGCAAGGACTTCCTGGACCTGGTGGAGGGAGGCCCTGCCCAGGCAGAGCAAAAGGGGGGGGGGAGTAGAGGGTAAGAGGATGGAGGGTAAGAAGGGCCTTTCATAACAATTGTTGAGAAAACAGCTGTAGAGAGGGCTCAGTTGGTAAAGTGATTGCTGCATAAGCATAAGGACCTGAGTTTGACCCCCAACACCCACGTAAAAGTCCTGGCACGGTGGTGCATGTCTATAATCCCATCACTGGGGAGGCAGAGGTTAGAGGATCCATGAGGTTTGGTGGCCATCCAATCAAGCCAATCATCAAGCACTAGGTTCAGTGACAGAGAAGGTAGAGAATATCAGCTGATATCCAACCTACACCCTCCCTATTCACACACACACACCCCTACACCACAAGCATGCACAAAAGAAAATAGCCTCCCAAGATGAGGAGGTCCTCAGAAATGGCGTTCCCTTCTCAATGTCACTGCCGGGGCCTTGCCTCTGTTCCTTTCCCATTGCCCATACAGTGTCCCCTAAGAGTACCCAGTGGCCAAACAGATTTTCTTTTCTTTTTTTTGGGGAGGGGGTCTCGAGACAGGGTTTCTCAGTATTGTTTTGGAACCTGTCCTGGAACTAGCTATGTAGACCAGGTTGATATCGAACTCACAGAGATCCACCTGCCTCTGCCTCCCAAGTGCTGGGATTAAAGGCATGCACCACTAACACCATGCACAGATAGATTTCTGGAGATCCATATCCCCCAGAGGAAGGCGTGGGAACTATGTCTAGGAACTGCCCCATGCATTAGAATTTTATGCTTTGGCAAGTATGAAACCTGGGTCCTGAAGCCCATCAACCTGGTCTGAATGAACACATCAGGGCTTTAAGGTTCACCTTGAACCCCAACAAAGAGTGGAGGCAGAGGTGAAGGAGAAAGCCTACCTCATAGAGTCAAAGGGTCACACCTTTACTGTCCTGAAAGGAAACAGCCGCCACAGGGCACTCACTCTTATGGCTTTTGGTTCTAAAAGAGAATGGTCCATGTTAGCTTCCTACAAGACTGGGAGGCCAGCCAGGCTCTGTGGGTTACTCCTCAGGTAGGTTCAGAGCAAGGAGAACTATAGAGAACAGATAGACAGACCCAAGAGGGTTACAGCAAACAGAATGTATTTCTGAAACAGAGGCCACAATGATTAGTTTGCTTAGCTCTGTTAGTAATTGTGAAATTACAAAACCAGCTCACAAAACTATGGAGAACTGAGAACAACAACATTTTGTGTGTGCGTGTGTGTGCGCGCGCGCGCGCATGTGTGTAAGTGTGCATGTACAAGCTCATGAAAATGAGTACTGATGCACACACGCCACAGTGCACGTGTATAGGGGTCAGAGGACAACCTCGTTGCTGGTTCCCTCCTTCTACCTTTACTGGGCAGGGTTTCTTGTCGGCTGCTGCATACACAGGCTAGCTGGTCTCCCATCTTTCTGTGAGCACTGAAATGCAAGTGTGCACAACTGGGTCAGGCTTTACATGGGCTCTAGGGATCCAAACTCACATTTTAGCATCATGTGCTTTGCCATCTGAGCCATCTCCCCAACGCCATTTGAGAGATTTTTTTTTAAAACACCCCAACCTACCCAAGTACTATGTATGATTTATACATAGCAAGACCCTGTCACAAACACACATACATGTACCATTCATATGAGCTCATCAGATCTTAGTGGTGGTGCTCAAAAACAACACCCTGATTGGTATATCAAACTGAGAGCCTAGAGGGGGCAGTAAACATGGGAAGGACTTTGCCTGAGGTGGCCCTCATCTACCTACCTGTCACTTAGATCTGCCAAAGAGGCATGGACTTGACTCCTCCTCCTCCTCCTGAGATGTCACAAACCACAGAAGACCAAACTCAAACCGCAATGTTAGAGACAGAAAATGAAACACTAGCATCTAAAGACACTCCGTCCCATGCTCTGTCTGCCCTTTGTGATCAGGCATGTCCACCAAATCTTTTCACTACCCCTGACACTGCCTCAAACCCTCCCTCCCCTCTCCCCTATTTAGAGTTCTGTGTCAGGTATGGCTCCTGTGCTTGTGGACACATTGATGAAAGTACAAGCTTTCTCCTACAGCTCTGTCTATTGTCGCTCAATTTAGCAAACTTAAAAGTCTTCATGGGAAGCAGAGAGTCCCTTGGCTCTCCCACCTACAAGTGGATGTGATGCTCTAACTATGCCCTACTGATGTGGACCACTGAACAGTAGTCCTAGCATTCACCAAGAGCATCTGATTATTAGGACCTAAGTGACAGAATAACATGGCACTGTATCATGTAATGAGAGGTCATCAGAGGACCCTGACACAAGATGTGCATCTCCCAGATTGAAGAGAAGAAAACTGTAGAATCTGAGTCTCATCTCTAAACTTTCTGAAGCAACCCCACAGCCACCAGCCTACCCAAGGCCACTTTCCCTTGCTCTGGAGCCACACCCAGTCCAGGTTAGGAGGACTTAGCCCTGGTGCTCCTCACCACCCACACACACCCCATGACTCAGGTGTCAGATGACCCTGGACGGCCTGACAAGGACCACAGTCCCCACAGCATTCACCTTTAGGGTCAGTGGCAGGGCCCAGATTTCAAAGCAGAGTTATGACTCTTCAAATCATATGTCCTGCTAGGTAAGTGGTTTTCAACCTGTGGGTCACAATCCTTTGAGGGTTAAATGACCCTTTCACCAGGGTCACCTAAGACCATCAGAAAACACAGATATTCACACTATGACTAATAACAGTAGCAAAATTACAGTTATGAAGTAGCAGTGAAAATAATGTTATGGTTGGAGGTCACCATACCATAAGGAACTGTATTGAAGGGTTCATAGCATTAGGAAGTTAGGAACCACGCTCTAGGTAGAACACTGCCCACAAGCACCCACCTACAAGAAAGGATACAATGCCTCTCCCATTGCTGTCCCTTGGGCCTCTCACCTAGCAAGCCAAGCTACTTTGACCCAAGCATTGCCCCCATAATCCTGTTAATCCAACTGAAGGTTTCTAAGTAGGCCCTAAGCCTCAGTCTTTGTTCCTTCCATAGCCCGAAGGCTCTGAGCACTGATACCCTGAAACTGGGGAAGCCTCATGCTTCCCAGTCAGACCTAGCAACAGCAGTCACCCCATGATGTTCTAGAAGGATCATATGACAGAGATACCCTAGCATTCCACAATGGCATTGTGTACTCAAGAAAAAGCAGAAGAGCTGGGGGGGGGGCACTCATGGATCCTTCCAGAGAGCACCAGGCTATGGTGGTTGGAAAATAATGTGACCCCTGCCCAGTCCACATCCTATTCACTGGCTCATAGGCCTGTTAGGGCACACGCAAAGGGGAATTAAGGTTGCAGGTTGCAGGCAGAATCAGAATTGTCATCAGCTGACCTTTACGTTGAGAGATTAGCCTGATCATCTCGTGGCCCTGATGTAATAACAGGACCTTTATATACAGAAGACAGGGCAGAGGGTCAGAGTCAGAGAAAGATCTGAAGGCACACTGTGGCTCTGAGGATGGAAAGGGAGCACAAAGCAAGGAATGTGAGTGATTCTAGAAGCTAGAAAAGACAAGGAAACAGAGTTTTGCCTTAACTGCCCCAGTCTCCAGGAGGAAAACACCCCTGCTGACAACTTGTGTTTAGCCCAGTGGGATCTATTTCCAACTTCTGACTTGGTGAACAATGGCTGGATATATATTGTGTTAACCCACAATATCTCTAGGAACATTACCAGAATCTCTGGGGACCACATTTAGGAGCTTCTACAGGTGGGCAGATCACATGCTCAGGCAAACATGGAACCAGGTCCTAATGGAGAGTACTGGGACCATCATCTGGGTCTGTGTAGACTACATCAGAGTTCCTGGGTTCATTCCCAAGAACAAAATAGCCACAGGGACCAAAGACATAAAAGCTGAGAACTCAGCTCAATGATAAAGGCTTGTCCAGCATGGCCAAGGCCCTGGGTTTGATATCCAGCCCAGCATGTGAATAGGCCAACTCTCTCATCTGACAGAAGAAGGAACAAGGCTAGGCACTGATTGAAGTCACTAAGATGTGACAGGGCTGGGCCCGGGGCCCAGGTTCTTGGATGGCCACTTCATATTATTCCACACACACTTCCTTTCACTACTTACTATTTCTAGCCTGGAATCTAGAGGGAGAGGACAGAAGGCCGTGTACCACTCATTCCACATGTGTACCAGGGGCAGGTGTTTGGTGAGTGCTCAGAACAATGTGGTAAGGAAGCTCTGGCTTCTGGGGACTGTCACCCACAACTGTGACAAGGGCTCTGACAAGTCCCTATCACAGTGTGGCGGCACTTCCTAGAGAGAAGCGATGATTGATCTCAGGGCTGCACCTGGAAAATTAAGGTGGCACTCATGGGAGCAAGAATGAGGGACTGTGCAGCAGGGGGGCAGATAGAATGAGCGAGGTCACAGTGGGCAGAGGGGTATCCAAGAGCTCTGCCTGAGGACCCCAAAGTATTCAGTTAGCAGAACTGAGGCGAGGTTGGAAAGAGACAGTGGCAAGCAATAGGTTATCCATCAGCTGAGGAGCTAGTATGGGAACGGAGGGAAGGAGTCCCAATAACCCTGAGTCCCACTCACCTGAGCCATCTGGGATGGCCCTAACGAATGTGGGCAGCATCTTTACTGACGCAGTGGGGTTGGTGTCCTTCCCCAGGCCTTTCTCCATCTCGGCCTGGAACCGGGCCATGATGTCCACGAGGGTCTCATCTGAGAGCCGCATGTGATACAGGAACCTGTCCACCTGGAACAGATGATGGGTTAGCCAGGGTTGACTCCTGGGGATGCTTGCCTTCCAGCTGTGGCTGTGAACTCCCAGTTCTACCGAGAACTCCTGATGCCGGGGACAGCTTTGCTGTGTGCACTCCTGTGGCTCCTTACCTGCACTTCATCAGCTGGGGACAAGGCCAGGGAGAATGGAAGGGGACACTGAGACAGAGCAGACTGACTCCTCTGAAGGGCAAACTGAGGAAGAAGTGGTTCCTTCTTACAGTTGGGGTGGGGATGCTTGAGTATCTAATCCCAATTCAGGTTCTCACCATGTACCCCTGTCTCTCTGATGGAAAGATTGGCTATACCTGGCTGCTCAGGTTTCCACACTTCTTTTTTTGTTGGTTTGTTTATTTATTCTGAGACAATTTTACTATGCAGCCATGTTGAGGGTAAACTAGAACTTGCTAAGTTTCCCAGGCTGGCTTCAAACTAGTGATCCTCTTGACTCTGCCTCCTGAGGTGGGATTATAGGTGTGTGTCACCATGCTTGGTTTACCATGGAAGCTGTCTTTCATCCAACCGATATATCCACACATGTCTCTTTGCTTATTGGCTGACAGGAAGTGTAGCACTAGGTTTGATTGACAACCACATTCTTTAAAGTGAGGTAATATCATTGGATTTTTGTTTTGTTTTTTGAGACAGAGGCTCACTAATTAGAAGTCTAATTTTTAAAGCCACATCAAAGCCTGCCGTGGTGGCACATGCCTGTGATTCTAGAACATAGGAGGTAGAGTAGGATCATAAGGAGCCCAAGGCCATCCTTGCCTATATCGGGGCTTCAATGACATCTTGGGTTACACATGCCTCAAAACACAAAAACAAGTTATGTCAGCTTGTTATTGGAAACGAGATGTCATTTAAGTAGACAGGATTGAAGCAGAGGGCCACTGGCCCCAATGCGGGAAGTTATAAAAATCACCACAGTGTGTTCCGTCACCTTGATGGCAACATGTCACATTAGGAATAGCAGTGAAGTGTCTTAGTCAATTGCTAATGACAGTATGGATGGATTCTCAGGCTCATGAGAATGGATTATAGATAGCCGGTTATGTTTACTGGGTACCACCTCCTCCCATCCAGGTTCCAAGGAGGCCTGGCTCCAGGAATTCCTAGAAGGAGAACACTATCCAAGTCAGAGTTGCATTCTTCAAAGTGTTGTCATGTCACCCCATCAAACCTCCAAGACCCTTTAAGATGTCTAGATAAGGCCAAATTTCAGTCCTTAGCCAAGAGAAAAGGAAGGCAAGGATCAGATCTCTGGTAGCATAACAGAACTGGACTACACCCTCCATAGGTATTCCCACCAGCCCCACCGGTGAACTGCACCAAGAAGAGCAGGCCTTACATCACCTCTGTTCTGGGCACAAGCATTAGTCCTCTTCAGCTAGGCCTCAGAGAACAGAAGGACACAGTCAAGAGGCCCAGGATAGTGAAATGGCCCCATGACTCTGGGGCCTGGGAGGAGGTAGAGAGAGGCCAGAAATCAGAGGTCCCCCCAAAAAAGGACAATGGAGCTTTCAGCATATTTGAGAAGATAGGATGTAACCAGGTCATGCTTCATTAGGGCTTTCTGCTCCGCTGTTGATGACTAATTAGTTGGCACTAACTTGCACAAATGGAGAAAACTGGGTAGAAAGGACATGACCCAAGTAATTGGGACAGAGGAAGGATGGAATGCTCTATGTGGTAACTCAACTTGATCCTGTCAAAACCTCCAGAGCGAGCCCTGAACCTACTGCTCAAGCTGAGCATAAAGAACTTCTCCAGATACCCACAGACTGCCATCTCATATAAGACATGGGGGGCACATGGGTAAGCTACTATGTAACGCTCATTAGCACCTCAAGTCACTGCTCAGAAGAAAGAATGTCAGCTTAACAGGTTCCTGTTTATTCTTCGTATCTTCCTAAAACAGTATCAAGAAGGGAGGGAGACACATGTTGGGACACAAAAGAAAAAGTACCATCTTCAATCCAGACATGTGATCTGGGGTTTGTGTAAATAGGACACATGTACCAGGCCCAAGAACATGGGTGGCAGGAGCCCAGGCCACTTCCCCCCCCCAGACTTCCTACCAAAAGGAGAGCTGACCAGCTTTAGAGAGAGCAGATAACAAGCCTCAAAGCTCAAGCCTACTCAGTTACAGAAGGGGCCTGAAAGATCACTCAGTCCAAAGGTCTCATACTACAAATTGAATCATAAGCAGGTTCCACACTATGACCTATTGGCTTCCCTTCTGAATTTTATTCTCAGAAATTTACCCCAATTAATAATAAATATATGCCACTCTTCATTGTAGTCATTTTTTTTCCATTGCAGAAACTTGGTTTGTGTTGGGTTAAATCAGGAAGCAATTTCAAGGGAGAACCCTAATATTCTTGTTTTAATATACTAATATTTTAATTGCTGAATGTTTCTGAAAGCTTCCAAATAACCAAAAAGAGGGAGAAGTGAATGTAGTAGGGTACATCTACTTCGTAAACTATGAGGAAGATGCCGGAAGGTGATCTTGAAGATGATGGAAAAGTGTGTGTAGGAGGCGATCAGAGCTCATGCACAATGCATGCCAACTTAACTGTAAAACCAAACCATGAGCAGAACACAAGGCTGCCACAGAGCACATGGGAGACTGGGGACATGAGGGAAAATTAAGGTGAGATTCAAGTGAACATCTCCACATTTTTGCAACGTTGACTTACTAAACTGTAAACACACACACACACACACTTAAAGCCCAATCTGCTGTTTTTATGAATGAACCATGTGTGGGTCAATGACCAGGTCCAACCCAGCATTATCAATAGGTCAAATATGTCAATATATTGAACTGGAAATGAATGTCAGACAGTGGCCTTCTTTGTGTCTTAATGTCACTCTGAGATTTCCAAACATGGTTCAAGGGTCTGATGAGTCATCTTTGCAGGCAAGCATGTCCCAGGACCTTGACAACTCCAAGCAGGAAGTGTGCAAACTGTCAGGCAGGAAGCACTGAGAGAATTACCCTTCAGATAATGCACTTTGCCTTGTGACAAGCTGGTTTTGACCTGTGGAGGAATGTCCTCCAAGCTGTGACTCCAATCCACTACAAACCAGCCTACTGCAAGCAAGGACCTGCTGGGTCCTTGCTTAGGGTGGCTTCCAGGGATTCCTGACTTTCTTGCTTTCCATGGGGAGGAAAGGAACTCAACCCAGGAATTGACAAAGGCTAGCGCTTCTTCCAGAAGGATCTGGTATACATCAATGGAACCTGAGCTTGTGTTGGTGGACTAATGCGCTCCAAACTAGTCTCAGGCCAAAACAAGAGGCCAGCGGCTATAAGGAGCCACTGAAGGTTCCATAAATTCAAAGATTCCACTTAGGGGTGGCATCTGTGCCAAGCAGGAAGAAACAGAAAGTGACCTCTGAAGCAGAGCTGCAGAGGACTTTACACCCCTCGGGGAGTCAACAGGGGGCTCTGCGAATCTAGTCAACAAATGACAGAGTAAAACAACTGTTAAAGCAGAGAGTTTCTACTCTTCAGCTTGCAGCTGACTTTCCCTGGAGGGCTACAAGGGACCACACTCCCTCTCTTACATTTTGAAAGTTATTTTGAAGAGGCTACAAGAGGGATCTGCCAATCTCAGCTTGATCCTCTTTGGCGGAGTCCAGCTGCCTAGAGATCTGCTGTTTCTACCATTGAGATGCCTCCTCCTTGCAGTTGTCAGCAGCCAGTGAATGGGACCAGTGAATCAGGTCTTTTAGCCATCTGGAAAGAGTCCTGATTTCATCAGTTAACTATAGCCCATTTTGATTTTGTAGACTAGTACTCGGGACAAACTAGCCAAACATCCACCATTAATAGGATGCTACTGGCTAACAGCACATGCTAAAGGAAAATTACAACTGTATTAAAATTTACATCCTAGCCATGCCTAATGGCATGGCCTTGTAATTCCATGTACTTGGAAGGTTGAGGCAGTAGTCTGAGACTAGTATGGGCTATATAACGAGACCCTGTCTTAAAATAATCAAATAAAAACCACATTCCTCTTGGTGCCCTTATTCTACATGATTTCAAACAAATGAATAATCAAATGCACTTTTCAAAGTTCTGATTCTTCAATGTGTTCTCCTTCGTGATATATATATTGCATTATATATTGATATGTTACACTTGCGCATACAAACACACATAAGTGAGAGGGTGAAACCGTAGCCTGCACTCCCTAGCCTCTGCAGAGAGACCCTAAGAACAGAATCTTCGTGTTGTGATGTACAGAAATGGAGAAGAGTATTAAACCATATTTAAGAACAAAACAACAACAAAATTTCTGATTCTTACAAACGATTCACCTCCATTGTGCCCTCACCCCTCAATTGGCCATAAAGTTCTTTGAGCTTTCTAAAGAATTCCATATCCCATATTTGCCAAGAGTTTTGACTGAACACCAAGACTTGGGACAGTAAGATATATAGGAGACTCGCTACCTCTTCCCCTTTGAGGCTTTCAATGCCATTGGCTCTCAGTATCTTCTCTTAAATACTTTTTTCTTTCCATGGTGGGGCTTGAACCCAGAACTTCACACAAGTTAAGCAAGCACCCAACCACTGGAGCTAACCTACCTGCCCCCCCCCACCCCACCTCGCCTTAATCCCTTTTGATGTTGAGAGGGAATCAGTTGATTCTGTCAGTGTAGACGGCCAGACACCTCAGCCTTTACCTTCTTGATCTGGTCCTCCTTCAGCTTGGTGAAGTAAAACGCCATCAAGTGTACTGCAAACATGTTTCCCGAGTTTGGTTGTCTCTGAGACAGGCAGAGATTTCTGTACAGTCGCTGCTCTCTCTCTCTCTGGAGTGCTGCACACCTCTCCTTCAGGCGGGAGCTGGGTGCTAGAACTAAATACTTCCACCTGCTTGGTTCAATGATTAAACTTCACCCATCTCTGGTCCCTCCCTCTGCCACACACTGTCTAACAGGAGGCTCTGGGGAGCTGCAGGCCAGCCGAGGGGAAGGCTAGGATTTGATGGGTTGACTATTTGAGAAACTGGGCACCACAAAATCTAGGTGCCAAGCAATGCATTCACATCAATGCTTAAAGCCCACTCAGTCAAAGAAAATCTTGTGAGGAGTTGGGGGGCAAAACAAATGCAGTGGGGCTATTCTGTAGGTAAATCCCAGTCCCAGGGTGCCTCTTTTTTCCTCAGCAAGCCAACAGAACTGCAGAGTCCCAGTCCCTCTGAAGCACCTTCTTAACTGGGACTGAGTAATATCCTGGTCCTGCAGATTCCAAAAATACTGAGACAATTCCTCTGCTGTGGCAGATAAGCCTTTAGCTTGGTTAATGAAAAACAGTCACTACTCAACAGTGGTAAATCAGACAGCCTTTATTCCACAGGGAGTAACTTGGGGTTGGGCAGGGAGATGTTGAGATAATGAGAGCCAGCAGGCCTCACTCGAGGTTCTGCTGCAGGCCCTGAAGCTATGGGTGGGAAGGGTGTGCTGCCAGTGACACACCTGGGTCCATTGCCCACCTCCCCCATCACACGCGATACCAGAAGGACCTGACATGAAGGAACAAAATCCTTTGCACCCCTCCCAGTCACTGGCTGGCTAGTGAATTCAGTACGACCAGCTGCCAGGCACAGGGAGCGGCATTAGTCCCATCTCACAGATGAGAAAGTGGCCCTGAACCAAGTGACTCACTGGAATCCCACTTGTAAGTGCTTCAGCAGGGAAGCAGTCCCAGAACCAATCCCAGAGCCTAGCTCCTGACTGGCACAAGCTCCTCTTCCTCTGCCCAATACTCATCTGGTAACTAAGACTCTGTTGGATTGAGTTTTAGCTAGCCCGAAACCTAAACACAAGGCAGCACAGACCCTTCCCAGTACTCTCCCAAACACTAAGAAAAAGGAGGTGGTGGCCCACGCCTTTAACCCCAGCACTTGGGAGACAGAGGTAGGCAGATCTCTGGGAGTTCTAGGCCAGCCTGGTATACAAAGCTAGCTCCAGAATAGGCTCCAAAGCTACAAAGAGAAACCCTGTTTTGAAAACCAAAAAGAAAATGCGCTATAAAGTTAACAGCTGACTAGATGGCTGCAGGCACCCCAGGGTCTTGTCTCCCACTGTCCTAGTGACCTCTGAATAAGCTGTTTCACCCTGGCCAGTTATAGTCTTGGCTTAGTCTGCTTTTCAACTGCACAATTTTACCAATCAAAAACAACGGCTGACCGTTTAGGCAGAGACCTTACTGCTGCCTCTTCAGAAACCATCAGAAGTCTGGCTTAGGCCAGTCTTGATTAAATGATTATATACTTTCCACAGACTGACATAACTCCCTCCCTGATGGAGAAACCTCGACCCTTTCTGTCTGTTTACCCCCAAACCATGACTTTAGCTCCTTTGCTTATCACATAAGCAAACACAAGGTTAACCTTCAGTTTCCACTCAGTCCCCAAAATGTACAACTGCTGGAATTCAGAAATGGTCTTGGATAACATCCTGGGCAGGCTGCCTGTTCAGGAAGGATACTGTTACCTTAATTCCCTCTCAAGTGCCTGTGGCACCAACTGAGGTCATCCAGGCTGGGATACCAGGCTAGGATGGGCAGTGGGCAGAAGGAAACCAACCCTTCAGAGGCCTCTGCAGTCTCCAGTTGTCTGTGAGGTAGACAGGCAGGTAGCCTGTGAAAACTTACGAAGGCAAAGGGCATTAGACTGTCCCTGTTACAAGGCACAGCACTTAATTACATCGGTATCTACCTTCCAGGTGTGAGCTAGCTGAGTAACCAAAAGGTTTAATGATAATTAAAGATCATCTGTTGATGGGCAGTGGTGGTGCACGCCTTTAATCTCAGCACTCGGGAGGCAGAGGCAGGTGGATCTCTGTGAGTTCGAGGCCAGCCTGGTCTACAAGAGCTAGTTCCAGGACAGCTTCCAAAGCCACAGAGAAACCCTGTCTGAAAAAAATAAACAAAAACAAACAAACAAACAAAAAGGATAATCTGCATCCAGAGTGATCTACAGACCCTTCATTTACAGTACCAAGATGAAATAACTGGGTTGGCTTGCTGTTTTCTCACTGACTCTCCCTTGGTATGTTTAACCAGTATTAAAGCTCTATGTAGCTAGTCTAAAATGTCTGGGTTTCAAGTTGTGGACTTTGCTTATGGACATATCTGAGTGTTGTCACTGTTATAATAGTTAATACGTATCATCCATTTGACCCAGCACCTCAACACAGGAAATAAAGTTCTCTATACACACATCCATTTCCGTAGAGGTCTGCTTTAATCCACATGGCCTTGTTCAAAGAAACACCTGCTGGCTGTCCTTTAGGTACTGAGCCTGACAGGAGGTCTGCACAGGGAATGAATCTGTCATCTTTAGGACACATGGAGTGTACAAGCTGCTCTACAGTACTAACTGCTATGATGACCACATTCTCCATTTTACAGATGGAGGAGTAGAGCCACAGAGCCCCACTATTTGGTGGAACAGAGTTTCAAACACAGGCAGTCTAGCACCAGAGCACAGGACATCTGAGGACTTGTCTGGAATTACAGTCCTGGCTCCAAAGAGCAGTGGCAAGTGCACAGGCCCTGGATTCTCCCTCTGGCTCTCTCTTTTCTCAGGGTGGAAGGCCAAGGCTGTATCTTCACAACCACCCTGGTGGTTACTCTGACAATGGAGGCAAATCACAGAAAAGGAATGTAGCTTACACTGGGCACACCAAAATCATCATCTGACAGTAGTCTTCTCAAGGCTGAGGACCCCTCCTAAAATTCCTATTTCATTCTATCCTATGGCCCCTGAGGAAAAGAAAATGTGTGTTGCCCTTTCCATCCACTCAGTAAAATACAACCATAAACCATGAGAAGGTACCAGTTTAATTTACAGAATTATAGACAGTCAGGAATGTTGTCAAAATTTTGCTACTGGCTGAGTATGGTAAAACATGACTTTAGTCCTAGCACTCAATAGGCAGAGGCAGGTGAACATCTATGAGTTGAGAACAGACTGGTATAGTACAGTCAGTCCCAGGCTAGCTAGGTTACATAGAGACCCTGTCTCGAAAAATAATAGGGCTGGAGAGATGGCTCAGTTCAAATCCCCGTAACCACATGGTAGCCCTCTTCTGGCCTGCAGGCATATAGAACACTGCATACATAATTAAATAAATTGTTCCTGTTTTTTTTTTTTAATACACTGTGAAGTCTACACTGTGCTTCTTTATGTAAGTTCAAAATTAAACTGTTCATAGCACAAATTATTCTGAGCAATTAAGTTTCAGCTAGCTGCACAAGAATGTGTGAGAGCAAATGTCTGCACACAGGAAACCAATGTGGAAACTTCCCAACTCCACCTCCAAGACAGTGACTACTATGTCTTCATGGGAGTAACCACAAAAAAGCCAATGTTCAGCAGCTTCCTAAAGAATGCCACCAGACCAGTTACCAACCTAGAAGGAATGCTTGGGAAGAAGTTAATGCTCAAATCACAATCGAATATCTATAAAACATGACAGACAAACCATTCCAGGAAATGCAATTCATAGGGCAGAAGATAACCAGCCTGTAAAAGCAAATGAGACTTTCGATTAGACATGGCATAAACCCAAGTGCACAGGGATGGAGAGATACCTCAGGGTTGAAGAGCCCTGTGTTCAATTCTCAGCACCCACATGGCATCTCAAAACTGTCACTCTAGTGTGTGTGGGGTGGGTGGTGGTAGGGGGATCTGATGCCCTTTTCTGGACTCTGGGAGCAGCAGGCATGCACATGACACATAGGCATACATGCAAGCAGAATATCCATACACATAAAATAAGTAAGCATTTAAAGACAAAAACAAAATAAGGTTGAAAACAACAAACAAGCAAGTGAAAAATGAACAGGAAAAGCAGAAGAAAACTAGGAGCTAAAAGCCACAGGGAAGGGCCCACTGGCCACATACAGAATTGAAATCTGGCAAAAGGCTGTTGTTCCTTTTGCTTGAAATGAAGTGACCCTCTTCCATTTTTTGTTTGGTTGGTTTTTGGTTTTTCCAGAAAGGGTTTCTCTGTGTAACAGCCTTAGCTGTCCTGGAACTCATTCTGTAGACCAGGATGGCCTCGAACTCACAGAGATCCTCCTGCCTCTGCCTCCTCAGTGCTAGGATTAAAGGCATTCACCACCACTACCTGGCTACTTACAGAATTCTAAAAATTAAAGGGTGTTAGGGTTACAGCTCTATAGCAGAGCATTTTCTTTGCATGGCCAAAGTCCTAGGGTTTGATACCAAAAGAACCAATCCCCTGCCTCACTGTGGATTTTCCTGCAAAGACTCATCAGTGTCACTGTATGCACTTAAAGGTGTATGACTTCACTGACGGCTCCTCCCTCCTTCCCGGAAAGGCTCAGCTAACCCTGTGGAGCAAGGACAAAAAAAAATGTAAGAGTTGAGGATGGCGAGGTGTGCTGTGTAATGCTGTCCTCTGGGACATGACATGTCTACTGCACATCAACTCAGATCAACTTGCACAAGACCTGTACAAGATCAAGCCAGTTAAAAATTCCAGCATGGAGCGTGAGAAGCTCCTGAGGCCCCTAGCTCTAGCTAAGGAGCTATTGGCAGTTGATGGCTGCTGGGCAAGGGAAGTCACTTTTCTTTTCCATGCCCTAGTGGATGGTTCTATATCCAATGCACATGAGCACTAACTAGATTCAAGGGATTAAAAAACAATAAGAGGACATAAGTGGGGAGGGAGATGTGACAGGGGAGTGGGTGAAGTTGAGGAGGGTAGGGAGGGATGGGTATGGACAAGATACATGGTATACAATGTATGAA